GGGCTGAAAACTCTGCAGGTGGGGAGGTTGATTGCTACGAGGGTTGATGTAATTTTTATGAAAAAAAAAGTAATAATATTTAACAATTAATTATTTAAATGTTTATTTTGTTGAAAAAAATATACATTGATAGTGTACATTTTCGTGCTTAACATCCATGTGACCCAAAGTCTGGACAAAAGATCCCTTTCTATGAGTTTGACTGGTACATCCCAAAGGCGTCCCCTGCCTTGTCAGTGGCATGCCTACTCACCAACAACCCTACCCCCATTTACTAAAATAACAAGTTCAGTTGGTCAAATAAAAATTAAAGAGAAACAGAGCATTTACGAAAATGATTATACAAAACAAACACTATTTTACAACTTTCCTCTTAACATCAGAGTCCGAATGCAATTTCAGAGTTACCAACCCTGCTCTGAATTGTAACCTCCTGTGCTTGGAACAAGTTTCAGGTTCTCGTTGCTTTGATGGATCTAGATATTTACATGGCACTCAATTCATCAGCAGAGTTGCGACTTGGTCACAGTGCCATCCTTACCCTAGAGGTGGGATCGTTGCAGGCAACTTTTCGGCCAGCATGCCAGCAGCCAACTTTGGTCTGGGAAGATTAGTGAAAAGCATCATTGATGATTGATGCAGTCTCGGTAAACTCCAGGACCATGGGCCCCTCCCCTGGAGTTTGGTAGCATCATTGTATCATTGAGCGAAACTTGGTCAGATTAGCCTTATGTACATGAGGAACGTGTGTGAATGACTGTAAAGTGTTCAAGATAGCGTGCATGCTTCAACATCTGCCATTTTCCTGTAATCAAATGTCACATACTTGAAATGTTTCTTTTTCAACAGTCAATGCTGCCTTGACATCTAATTATATAATAATATAATAATATATTAATATGGATTATGAAAAGCAAAATATTATCAATTGTAATTACCCAGCAAGATCTGCTCCGCGTTTTGATTTCCAATTAAAATATTTATATAAAATAAAAATATCAATCAATACAAATAAAAAAAAGTACCTCTGGTTAGTTATTAACACTTCTTCTTTAGGAGACCAAACCAAACAACAACACTCACGTTTTGTCACCTTGGACTCTGTCAAAAAATAAATTGTTTTTCCAAGAAAAAAAAAAAATCAATTCGCGTCTGTCCTACAAAAAAAAAACCAATAGGATAAATAATTAGACGCGTTGTCGGTCGATCAAATAAACTTTTTTTCTTTAAAAAAATGTCATACACGACAAGAAAAAGAAATCGAGAAGATGGGCGCATTGAAACGCAAATTGAGTAAGTGTTTTAAGGATGGTGGTGGTGGTCATCGCCCGCCACTTGTCGTCGTTACTCTAGTTAAATTTTAAAAAAACTTTGTTATTATAAATCGCGTAAAAAAAAACTCATTTTAACTCAATATTTTTTAAAAAACTCTTGTTATATAATAAAAATTTCTCGCGTAAACTCATTTACAAATAAAAGTAATAAAAAAACAAAAAATGATGGGTAAGTGTTTTAAGGATGGTGATGGTGGTTATCGCCCACCACTCATCGTTACTCATCACTCTAGTTATATATATATATAGAAAATTTACTAATCACAACTTCTATATATATATATATATATATCATTTAGATTTTCTTTTCCACAATATACAAAATGTCTGATTTCACAACAAAAAGAAATCTTCATTACATTACTTAATAGAGCTAGTTATGAAAAAGACATTATGACTAATTTTTTCTCAAGACTATATTATTTGAAATTATTAGAAGACAAGGAAATACAAAATCACTATGTAAATATTATCATAGAAGATTTGGAAAAAGACCACAGTCAATTAACTGAATTTGGTAAAATAAATTTTCAAGAACTCCAAGAGGAAACTTCCACTGTAAGCATCATGCTTTTTTATGTTCATGATTATTAATAATGTAATGATGATACACAAAAAAAAATATGGTAAGCTGGTAGGATACCATAAAACATGGACTCTAGATCTAATTCAAGAAATATTTAATATCAATTTGGCAAGCTTGTAGAAACAGTAAAATCCATGTTTTATGGTACAAAAGGTTCATTGATTCCTGAGATGTTAGCTTTGTATACAAAGCTTAGTCTCAGAAGTCTTAGCCGAGTAGAAAGCAAAAGGTTCATTGATCTCAGGAAGAAATAAGAATAATTTATTATCATTAAAAACACTCATTAAAAATAATAATTTTCAGGATAATTGATTATATACTTCTAAATCTAATCATTGGCTTTATTAATTTAAATATACCATTTTTTAAAAAAAAGATCTAGCATTCTAACGTATTATTTTATTTCATTTTATTAAGGATCAAAATGCTATGAATTCCATCATAAAAACTGCATGGATTGACATTGATGGTTACAAATTAGTACATGACTTTATTAAAAAATTCACTACTGAAAATAAAAGGTATGATAATGTTTTGTGAGATAATTTTTCTGATTATTTACATCACAATAATTATTAAAATAATTTGTTATATCTTGTTATAGTATAGAAATAGAAGAATTAGTATCTGAAGATAATGTTGATAGTAGTTCTGATGATAGCAACAATGATAAAGAATATGATGATATTAATACAGTTGATGAAGGATTTGACATAAATCATTTTCATGAAAAGATTTCATTGGTAAGATTATTTATTAAGCTACAATTTCTGTTCAATTTTTCAATTTTTAATATTATTTTTTAATATACAATTTTAGTACATTGAAAAGCATCCTGATCTACCCCCAAAAGCACTAAGTATTTCTCTTGAGGTATTAAATTGTGATGAAATTGATGATGGAGACCTCTTATCAGAAGGGATATTATGTGCACCATATTTAAAAATTGAACAACCTATGTTATTCAAAAAACTGAAAAAAAAGAAGCTTCTGGATCTTCAATATAATGAAGAACATTGTGTTGAATTGGTTGAGCAAGAGAAAATTATAATCAAAAGTCTTATAATTAATAATGATGTCAGCCTATCAAATATTCATTATCGTGATAAACGATCACGACTTGCATTAGTGGATCTTGTATATGCCTTTA